TTCAGCCTTGTCAACCCTGTGGGTACACCCCCTGTCCAAATGAAGGTATTCAGGAACCCGCAAAACGCTATATATTGCAATGACGACTATAGGCCTATATTTGGCGGGAACCACGATTTGTTAGTCAGAAGCAATCTTCAGTCGAATAAATGCGATGTCAATATCGGTCATACATATGAGCTTCCTTCTGGTCAATCAGCAACAAACTTCTTAACTGGAGGTCAAAAATTCAAAGTTGCTGAAATGGAAGTCTTTGGACTTGAGGAAGATTAATATACGTAGTTTCATGGCTTTCGCAGAATATTAAACTTGAAAAGAATTTGAGAATTTTAGTTGTGATAGTCACTCCAAAGTTAAACAGCGCCGTCGATAGCCAGATCTCATCGAGTTAAGAATAGTGTTTATTTAAGAGTTTCGCTACCGCCTATGTAGGACAGGAAAACGATTTGCATGATAAGACAAGCATTTGTGTCAAAATGAACACCACAAATGAAAATGTCACTTTTTCCCCTTTTTACTAATGAGGCGGCCTCGTTCAAGCAAGAAGACTGACCAGGTTGTGACTCATGAAAAATGGTATTTCAGAAAACGCTCATAATTAAGATTTTATTTAAAAAATGCGCTGGTTGAATGAACAAAGGTGATTAACTGACAACAAACCTCCGACAGACTWCAACCACATGGCATGTATAATGAACAAGCAATTGATTAAAACGGTGGGAGTCCTGAGTGGAGTGACTGTAATAAACTCGGTAACGACTCAGAGGAGGGTCACATTAATCGAATGTGCATGCGAAGCAAGTAAGCTAAACGTTTCTCCATGTAATATGATGATAGTAACTTTCTCAAATTTTCTTGGCGAGAACGTTTTCACGAAAAAATAGAACTACATTCTATATTAGATAGATAGATAGATAGATAGATAACTTTATTTAAAGTCGATATGTACATGGGCCAGGGACCCGTAATAAATACATTGATTTTCGAACTGTACACCCAAAAGCTTTGTCTCGTGCCGGGAAAGTTTCACCGGCACCGGGATACAAGGCAGTTAAATGAAAGAGCAAACCTTTTTTCCTATTCTGCAACTGAAACTTTCCCATTTTGCGAATTACAAAATAATTGCGTTACGTGACATTCGTCTGTCACGATGACCTCAATTCCAAGCAATTCCAAGAAATCTATTAATTAGGTACTCAGTTGTAAGCTTTGCAATAAAAATTGTAGATTGATAGCCTAGTTAGGGAACAGAACAGGACAGAACTCAACTATTGTTCATTCACATTTATTGCTCAATCTGTTATGTTCATCTATCTATATTCAAAATGYATGTAATAAAAATAAAAGCCCCACACGGCCACTGGCACCCAGGGTAGGCGAGCATAAGAGCMTTGTTTATTATTATGGGATTCGCGAAAAGCATTCTGGGAATCACTCTAGCTTCAGTCAAATACTWTCGCTTTTGTTTGCACCAACTAGGAGCCCTATATAGTTTGCGATAGCTTAAGGAACTTTTTAACATGTCTGATAAATCTAGTGACAAATCTGATGATAAATCTGGTGACGACAAAACTGAAATGACCAGGAGTGAAGCGTTCGAAAAGGTGGACTATCATGTTAAACAGATTCAAGACATCCTGGATGTTGAAATTGGTCGCGTTGAACAAGAAAGGAACGCATTCGAATCGGTGGCGAAAAAACTTGAACACGTTCACTTCTCTTCGACCATTAAACTGAATGTTGGTGGACAACTGTTCACTACAAGTCTTCAAACACTAACCAAAGATGCTGGATCAATGCTGCACGCCATGTTCTCTGGTCGTTTTGAAACCAAACCAGCTGAAGAYGGTAGTTACTTTATCGATCGAGATGGCACACACTTCCGCTACATCCTAAACTACTTGAGGACGGGGAAGCTSAGTTTGCCTGATGACAAACTGATACGAAAAGATGTTCTAGAAGAAGCCATGTTCTACCAAATACAAGGCATTGTGGATGAGCTCAATCAGAAGATACCAGAGCCAAAGCCAGTGCCAAAGCCTGCCGAACCAGTGCATTACAGCGACTCTRCGATCTTAACTCTCGGTCATTCAAAATGGCTGGTATCTATAAGGAATTTAAGTAAAAGTAGCCTTTTGTACCGTGCCTCAAGGGACGGATGGAGCTCCTCTAATTTCCATTMCAAGTGTRATTCTTTTAATGGACCTACCATGGTAGTGATCAAGAGCACAGGGGGGTACATCTTTGGAGGATACACCGAGCAGARTTGGTCAGGTAATTCACATATGTCCAAAACAAACGACCTGATACTAAGGGCCGTTTACATGATACTGGAATGAGTTTTATTCCGGAACGAGAATTTCGTTCCGGAATGAAAACCRGGATGACTCATTCTGGAATGACTCGTTCGTACTTACTATAAGGCACAATAAACTACTATGACCTACAATGAGCTACAATGAGCTACAATGATCTACAATGAGCTACAATGAGCTACCAAATGATCTTCAATGACCTACAATGAGCTAGAAAGAGAACTAAAGAGCGAAAACGAGCTACTATAAACTAGTTTGAAACTACATAAACTCATAACTATTGATATTTTTGTTAATTAATAGTTACTTTCAGCATAAATTGTGTACTTGCTCCATTTAAATTGTGCACTTTCTGTCATCAAAAGTCGTTGCTTTGCACTTGAAAACAGCAAGTTTATTTAATATATCCCTGTATTTACTGTTCCATTTAATCGTTTACTATAAACATGGTAGTCTTATTTATAAATTGGGTCTCCTGTGTTTACATCCTGGTCCCAGACTTACTCGTTCGTTTTCCTCTTGCGCCTGCGCTTTGAGATTTGCAGAGCAAGTTTGTCAAAGAAAATGTGCTGTGTGTTTTTACCGTAACTTTTTTTTTGTAGACTAATGGGATTTTTATGTGCTCATTTTCTATTGTCAAATATCATGATTTTGTATAAACTTGACAGCTTAGAAAATCTCAATAGAAGGATGGAGTTCCTGTTGGCACAGGAAACCCACTAAACTGGAGTCGGCCCGAAAATTTAGGTTTTCAARCAGGGCTTCAAGGAAAGCATGTGATAATATTCGCTGATTTCAAGTGCAAAATAAGGACTGTTAAATGACAGAAAGTGCACAATTTAAATGCAGCAAGTACACAATTTAGCTGAAGGTAACTATTAAATAACAAAAATATCAATAGTTTTGAGTTTATGTAGTTTCAAACTAGTTTATAGCCAAGGGCGGATCCAGGGGGGGGGGCAAAGGGGGGCTGAAGCCTCCCCTTCAGCAGAAAAAAAATCGATGCTTTTTTATATTGTTTTCCGTTGTGTTGACGGAAGAATCTCAATTAGCCCCCCACCAAACTCAATTAGCCACCCCCTAAAATTTTGGCTGGATCCGCCCTTGATAGCAGCTCGTTTTAGCTACTTAGTTCTCTTTCTAGCTCATTGTAGGTCATTGTAGCTCATCGTAGGCCATTGCGCCTTTTAGTAAGTACGATGGCTCGTTACGGAATGAAATTTTGCTCTGGTATCATGAAATCAAATACAAAGAAATATATGACAACCGGAATAAACTTGTTCCGGTATCATGTAAACGGCCCCTAATTATACGGTCCGTGAATGTGGCTCACAGACCGCACAGGTCGTTAAAATCAAAGATATGCACAAAGTGTGCATACATGGCGATCGAGGGAGTCTCGAGAGTTTTACGCCCATGACCCCCCCATTACCATGACCTCCGGCACCAACACAGTCTAATCGTTAATTGTAATTTATTTATGATACAGTAATTCAATTTTCATTTTTCATGTCGATTATCTTGACAAGCAATGCTACAAATAATTTYGGGTTGATACAAGACAAGAATAAGAATGAAACTGAAGAATTCACATTATGATTTGTTTGATATAATTATCGTCCGGAGTTAGGGCACGGTGTCCGAAATTAGGGCTACCAACTTGATCGATATTTTGGGGGGGAAATTAGTTAATTCGGAAAGTTAAAGTGCAAATGAACCCTTCGACAATACTTTCAGTACTG